GTGCGTGTGTCGCGTGCGTGAATGTTGTTCGTACATGCATTTATGTAAAGCGCCGTGTGTGTGTGTGTGTGTGCGTGTGTCGCGTGCGTGAATGTTGTTCGTACATGCATTTATGTAAAGCGCCTAGAGCTGTGTTTACACGGGAGTAGGCGCCATAGAAATGATCTTCATTATTATTATTATATATGGAACATAAATCATTATGAGATCACTAAGATATGAGGGAGCTTGGTTATTGACACATTTATGACATAATATGTGATGCAGCGTGGTGGAATAAGGCACTTGTCAATTTTTTGGGCATGTGGGGTTATTGGTTTCATCTTAAAGCCTGTTCATTTGTCTATCTTTCTGTTAAAAAGTACCCATCTATCTTTAATAGAAGTCGAAATATTTATGATTGAAGTAAGTAGGGTAACCTGATTTCAGAGGAAAAATAAGGGAAAAAAATAACCCCCAAAGCTTGGTATCTTTCAAAGCGTGAGAGTCCTTGAAAACTGAACATTTTACTTTTCTTGTACCTTTAATCAACGTTTTTCGGGATAATCCACACAGAAATGTGTTTTTAAATTAACATAAAAGCTGCTGAGCTTAAAAACAAACATTTGATAAAAATTGCCAAACGGACCGAAAAATGCCAATATCTTTGATTTGATTATTTTGACGAGAGCCTGATTCCACCACGCTGCCTCACATACTATTGTCCAACATAAGACCTAAGACTTCTCACCGACAGAGTTGACTCCCCCTGGGTGGGCTGATTTCCCCCTGCCTCGCAACTCCTTCAAAAGACCCTGGAAAAACAAAAACGAATCAAACAAATAACCACACTTTCGTTTGTTAATTTGTTTGAGTAAAGAGAAGCATATCGACGAAGTAATGATTATTAAAATTTGGTGGTGATCGGAAATGGTAAGACAGACAGACAGACAGAAACAAAAGATGGAAAGTAAAGAAGTAGAAGCTATCAGTTTGTTTGTTTGTGTGTTTGTTTGTGTGTCTATTTGTCTGTTTGCGTTTGCTTGTGTGTTTGTTTGTGTGTTTGTTTGTGTGTTTGTTTGTGTAAAGGGGAGTATATCAACACAGTAATGGCAATTTAATGCTGGGAAAAAGTAAGATTAACAGACAGACACAACAGAGGGAAAGTAAGGAAGTTGGACCTACAAGTGGCGCCCTCCAACCACCTGCAAAGTAAGACAGAAACAACAGGGACAGTAAAGAAGTAGATATTTTTTTTATGCAGGACCTACCAGTAGCGCCCTCCAACCACCCGCACACACTTTTGTAACCATCGCATCACTTAACGTACCCAGATATCATCATTGACAAAGTGCTCAACTGTGAAAGCGGTACAAGTTGAACGTTCCTATCAACACTAATTAATAGGTTTATTAAGAGGTAGTACCTCCGAGTTTTACGTCCATCTCGGAAAAGAGCAAGCCAGATAAGAAATTCGTGAGAATTAAGTGTCTTTCCCAAGGACACAACGTCGGACCCAGCTGAGGCTCGAACCACCGAACCTTCAATTTCACGACGATTGCGGGTCCGGTAGCCTAACACAGGGCTACCGACACCACGATGTTCAATGGTCCCATCCCAGAATGATACTTATATCAAGAAACTTAAGTCACGATAGAATGAAAGGATGTCATATTTTTTCCGCAAGCTTTCAAAATTCAGAACGCAGTTTTTTTTTCTTTTTAAGAGAGTGGAAGAACTGTCTCAATCTTTTAACAATTTTGTACTCGCAGTATGTATCTTTTTCCGATATCATCAACTCACGGCTCAATGTTTTAAGCCCTGATTGATGAGGATATATCCCCCCCCCCCTAAGTCGTGATAGAATGAAAGTATGCCACAAAAACATTTCGGCAGCTAGTTGTTCAATTATTGTCTTAAGCCAAGAATTTAACTTTTTGAAGGAGTGTGTGAGAGACAGAGAGAGAGAGAGAGAGAGAGAGAGAGAGAGAGAGAGAGAGAGA